CGCCCCGGCCCGGGCTCGCTGCAGCTCCGGGAGCCAGCCCTGCTGTGGCTCTGCGGGATGCCTCCCCTTAGCAGCTGATCGGGCAGTCGCTACATGGCGCGGCAACTCCTCGATTAGCAACATCCGCGGTCCTCAGCAGCCTGCACCGCTCCCACCGGTGGCTTCCTCCCTGGCCGCCGGCCGGCACAGAGCGACTTGCCCCGCTCTTTGCCAGCTGTCGCGGGGAATTGCCTTGGCATTGGGGACGAGTAACGCCACAGGAGTGCTGGAGCTGGCTGGACCCTGCTGGGGCGGGGACGGCCTTTAATCCGCCCACAGAGCCGCCTCCTTTAGAGGAAGGCCAAGGTTCTCGTGGGCAGTGAGGTGCCTAGCGCCCGTTGGTTCAATGGCAGTTAGGTGCCTAAGGCCCTCGTTGACCGGGGCACCGTTCCAGGACCCCCTCCCTCGTGCGTGGCGAGCGGAAGGAGCCGAGGCCATTGTCTATAAGCTGTTTATTTCTGATTGCACAGAAGCAGTGGAACGTGGCCTTGAGTCCCTACAGTGCACTTTGTATTTCAGCGTGTCAGGCCTGCTTCCCTCTGCTGGCAGCCGCAGCGGGCTGGGCTACGCGGGGGTTCGCCCGTGGCTGTGTCAGCTCCGCCTTTCTACCTCCCTGCACTGCCATCCGTCGGCTGCAGACAGGGAATGTCTGCTCTTACTGGGGGGGGTGCTTAATCATTCGGGTGCTTAAATGTGGCATTCTGCATATATTGTATTCTGCTACTGAAGCTATCGTAACAGCCACGGCTCGGCCGGGCGCTGCACGTATTGCTAACCTCTGAGCCGGGGCTCAGCGGGGAGGCACCCGCAACGAGGCCAAGTCTCACCTTGGGGAACAAAGACAGTGGGCCGCCTGGCAGGGAGCACTACAGGTTCTCTGGTGGCCAAGCTCCAGCGGTCTCTTCACTTCTCGGGTTTGCCTGCCGCAGCAGCCTTCTCCGCAGGTTTGCCCTCTTTCGAGTCTGTGCCGGAGGACTTCTCCACCTTCTCTGCCTTGGTCTGAGCAGCCTTGGGCGCCTCTTTGGGTGTCTCCGCCTTGGGGGTCTCCTTGGTGTCTTTGGGCTCTGGCTTGGCAGCCTTGGGCGCCTCTTTGGGTGTCTCCGCCTTGGGGGTCTCCTTGGTGTCTTTGGGCTCTGGCTTGGCAGCCTTGGGCGCCTCTTTGGGTGTCTCCGCCTTGGGGGTCTCCTTGGTGTCTTTGGGCTCTGGCTTGGCAGCCTTGGGCGCCTCTTTGGGTGTCTCCGCCTTGGGGGTCTCCTTGGTGTCTTTGGGCTCTGGCTTGGCAGCCTTGGGCGCCTCTTTGGGTGTCTCCGCCTTGGGGGTCTCCTTGGTGTCTTTGGGCTCTGGCTTGGCAGCCTTGGGCGCCTCTTTGGGTGTCTCCGCCTTGGGGGTCTCCTTGGTGTCTTTGGGCTCTGGCTTGGCAGCCTTGGGCGCCTCTTTGGGTGTCTCCGCCTTGGGGGTCTCCTTGGTGTCTTTGGGCTCTGGCTTGGCAGCCTTGGGCGCCTCTTTGGGTGTCTCCGCCTTGGGGGTCTCCTTGGTGTCTTTGGGCTCTGGCTTGGCAGCCTTGGGCGCCTCTTTGGGTGTCTCCGCCTTGGGGGTCTCCTTGGTGTCTTTGGGCTCTGGCTTGGCAGCCTTGGGCGCCTCTTTGGGTGTCTCCGCCTTGGGGGTCTCCTTGGTGTCTTTGGGCTCTGGCTTGGCAGCCTTGGGCGCCTCTTTGGGTGTCTCCGCCTTGGGGGTCTCCTTGGTGTCTTTGGGCTCTGGCTTGGCAGCCTTGGGCGCCTCTTTGGGTGTCTCCGCCTTGGGGGTCTCCTTGGTGTCTTTGGGCTCTGGCTTGGCAGCCTTGGGCGCCTCTTTGGGTGTCTCCGCCTTGGGGGTCTCCTTGGTGTCTTTGGGCTCTGGCTTGGCAGCCTTGGGCGCCTCTTTGGGTGTCTCCGCCTTGGGGGTCTCCTTGGTGTCTTTGGGCTCTGGCTTGGCAGCCTTGGGCGCCTCTTTGGGTGTCTCCGCCTTGGGGGTCTCCTTGGTGTCTTTGGGCTCTGGCTTGGCAGCCTTGGGCGCCTCTTTGGGTGTCTCCGCCTTGGGGGTCTCCTTGGTGTCTTTGGGCTCTGGCTTGGCAGCCTTGGGCGCCTCTTTGGGTTTAGCTTCGGCTTTGGGGGTCTCCTCCACGTGGGGCTCAGCCTTCTCCTTTTTAGGTTCTTCCTTTTCCTCAGGCTTTGGCTTCTCAGGCTCCTTGGCTTTGCCTTCCTTTACCTGAGGCTTCAGCTCAGGCTTCTGCTTGGCAGCTTCCTCCTCCCCCTGCTCTTTGGCAGGCTTGGGGGCTGGTTTGGCAGGCTCCTTCTCGGGGGCAGGGGGCTCAGGCGTGGCAGCTTTCTCCTCTTCTGCCTTTGGCTCTGGTTTGTGGGGCTCCTTGGCTGGGGTTTCCTTTTTCGGCCCCTCCTCTTTCTTGCTTTCTTCTGTCTCCACTTGTGGTTTGCCTGGGGCTCTCTCCCCACCCTCTGCGGGTCGCTCTTCTTTTACAGCTGCCTTGGTTTCTTTTGGGGGGGCAGGTTCTCTGTCTGGTCGCTTGGCCTCATCCTTCCCAGGAGACTTGGCCTCCTCTGGAGATTTGGCTTCCTCCTTCTCTGGAGACGCTGCCCTCTCCTTTTCTGGGGACTTGGCCTTTTCTTCCTCCCCGTCCGCTTCCTCTCTCTTCTCGGCCTCCTCTTCCTCAGTTACCTCTTCAGTCACCTGGATTTCCTCTGTCTGCTTCTCCACAATCACGGTTTCCTTATCGGACTTCTCCACCACTTGGCCTTTCTCCTCACGTTTCACCTTTACACGGGTGGGAATGCTGGGGGGCTTCGGGGGAGGCTCGGGGAAGGGGAAAGGGCCGATTCCAAACCCGATGCGGCACTCCTCGCCTTCCAGCAGCTTTCTGGTGTGGGCGAGAGACAGAGCAAGCAAGTCAGAGTCCACCGTGCAGCCCTGGCAACAGGATGGGGAATCTTCCCTTTGCTTTTGTGGCTCTCGGGTCTGAGCCCCGGGCGCAGGTAGTCACCATGGGCTAAGGGCTGCCCCGGGGCCCTGCTCTCTCTGGGCCCCTCCAGCACCAGGACTGTTGCAGGATTGCCCCAAGGGAGCTGGGTGGAGCAGCTTGGTGTCCAGCCTCCGTATGCCCACTGGCGCTGAACTTGAGCACCACGTCTGTGTGGCTCCTGGGCTCAAGTTCTGGGCTCCCTCCTGCCCAAGCTGCATCAGCCCTGCAGCCGGAGGGGCGACTGCCAGCCCGGGGAGGCAGAATGGTCCCAGCAGCACAGGCAGGGCCTTGAGTCAGCCATGCAAAGACAACCCCGCCTGAGATCCAGCCCCCGGCTGAGCCCTGCTTCCAAGTCTTCTTGAGCCAGGCCCGGGGGCGTGGAGGCACCTGGCAGGACTGCCCGGGAGAGGCGGGGGGCTGGGGCTGAGAGCAGGAAGAGATGGAGTGGAGGGTGGGGGGACCTGGTGTCTATTTGGCAGGCTTGGCTTTGCCTAGCTCCTTGGACTGTGCTGGGAGCTGCCTCCTTGATCTCAAGCACTGGGCCCACATACCTGTAAGCAGCAATTTCGATGTCCAGGGCCATCTTGCGGAGCTGGGCTGCCAGCTCCCACTTGGTGTTCCTCAGCTCGTTGTCCAGCTGCTGGATGGTTTCCTGGGGCAGAAACATGGTCAGGGCGGCCCCGGCTCCCTGCTTCCCTGAGCAAGGCAGCAGTAGCTGCAGAGGTGCCCAGGGTGCGGGTATTGCTGCCGTGCTAGCTCGCTCGGGGCGCCACATGCCGGGGCTGAGCGGAGCTGGGCTGCCAGCTCCCACTTGGTGTTCCTCAGCTCGTTGTCCAGCTGCTGGATGGTTTCCTGGGGCAGAAACATGGTCAGGGCGGCCCCGGCTCCCTGCTTCCCTGAGCAAGGCAGCAGTAGCTGCAGAGGTGCCCAGGGTGCGGGTATTGCTGCCGTGCTAGCTCGCTCGGGGCGCCACATGCCGGGGCTGAGACTCCCGTCTTTGCGTGCTCTCCCGCTTAGCCTCACGCATGTGGGGCGCTGGGCGGGACTGGGTTTGTGAGTCTAGGGGAAACAGCAGGCGGGGAACGAAGTCTCCCCCACTCGGAGCCGCAGCTGCCCTGTGGGGTAAGTCAAGGTGCAGGGTCCCCAAGCACAGAAGCAAACCTGTGCGAGGCAGCTTATTTCAGCTGGGGCCCCTGGGGCTGTTCCGCTGTCCAGTGCTTAGCCCCAGAGTGAAACCCATGGGGGGCTGGGCCGCCGGAGGCTGTTCTGCAAGGACAGGCTTAGAAGCAGCCAAGCCAGGGAAGAAGTTTAGAGTTGGGGGGCATCTGGTGCCAAGTGCCAAGGAAAGGGGTGGGCTTGGCTCCCCCCTGCCTGTGTGCTCTGGGCCAAGCCTGGAGGTAGCTCTGCCTTCCCCCAGCGAGGCTGCCGGGCCTGCTCCGTGGGCAGTGTCACCTGGTGGGTGGCCTCTGCTGCCCCTTACCTGATAGGACAAGATGGTAGCATGATGACGGTCTTCTGTGTCTGCTCTCTGCCTCTCCAAGGACTCCTTGGTCCCCTGCAGGGCTTCCCACTCTGTGAGCTTGGCATGGAGCTGCCGGCGGTATTCCGAGATCTCCTCCTGGGCCGAGCGGATGGCGACAGCTTCCCCAGCCTCACTGCCGGTGGTGGAAAGAGGTGAAGCGGGGAGAGGGGGAGACTCTCCAGGGGGGCTGCTCTCCTGGGGCCGGGCGTGCCACATTCAGGCCCTGGGCAGTGGGAAAGCAGCCACAGCCACAGGGTCTGGAGTCCCCCAGCACGACCTGCAACCCAGACAGGGTCTGGCACTGGCCCCGGCCCCATGCACGGCAGGCTGAGCTAGGGCTGTGCTGGTGGGGCGGGAGGCACTGGCCAAGATGCTGAGCACAGAGCCACTGGGGGTGGGAGGGGCTGAGTGCTGAGCCATTGGTGCTGGGAGGAGCGGGAGGCGTTA